CTTGTTCTTACTATTAACATTGCTGTCGCTACTACTACCACCACGGCGACGACCACATTCTATTACTACTAGGACCACCGCTACGACTATTGCTATTGCAATTACTAGCGCTATTTGCCTCAAACTAGTACGACTACTGCTCTTACGTATATCTTTAGTACCATTGGTACTTTTACTACTACTACTACGACTACGACTACTACTACTACTATACTGCTACGTTCCGTATCACGACTACGACGGCTACTACCACTACGACTACGATTACTATTACTACCAGTACTACTTCTGCCATTGCTACGTTTACTAGTATGATTACCAGTGATTCTATTATGAGTATTACAAATTGCACGAATATTATTGCGAGCGATATCACTACGACTACTGCGCCCCTCACGACCACTACTGATACGATTACGAGGATTACTAGTGGTACGACTGTTACGACTACAACAACTACGACTACGACGACTAGTACTACGACTAATACTGCGATCCGACCACAACCGCCACTACAGTACTAGTACCACTCGTAGTAGAAGTAGTAGTAGTAGTAGTAGTAGTAGTAGTAGTTGTAGTAGTAGTAGTCGTCGTACCACTACTACAACTACTACTACTACTACCATCGCTACTACTACGAGTACGCGTTCTACTAACATTACTACTATTAGGACGACGACTACGACTACGTTTACTATTGCCACAACTATTACTACTTCTAAGACCACCCTTACTACTCTTAATACTACTGCCACTAATATCAGTACTATTACTCTTTCTGCTACTTTTTCTACTACTGCGACTACTCATGCGCCACTAGTATCAGAAATCGTATTACGAATATCACTACTACGATCACGCTTACATCTAGTACGATTTTTACTACGACGATTCACGTTACTATAATTCCTACGATGACTACCACTACTACTACGGCTGTTTCCATTCCTACTATTACTACCACTACGACTACGTCTAGTACTGCAACAAGTATTATTACTTCTATTACGACTATTGCTATCACTATCACGGTACTACCATTATTTACCACTACTATTACGACTACTGTTGCGCATACGGCTATCAGTATTATTATTACGACTACTGCTACTACTGTGGCTACTGTTTCTACTACTACTAGTACTACTACTTCCATCACTACTAGTACTACTACTACTACTACTACTACTACTACTACTACTACTACTACTACTACGACCACTACTACCACGACCACTACGATCACCACTACTACGACTACTACTACTACCACAATTACTACTACTACTACTACTACTACTACTACTACTACTACTACTACTACTACTACTACGATCGCGACTACTAGTACGACTACGACTACTATTATTGCTACTACAACTACGACGACCACAACTACATTTACTACATTTACTACTACTACTACTACTACTACTACTACTACTACTACTACTACTACTACTACTACTACTACTACTACTACTACTACTACTACTACTACTACTACTACGACTACCGAGACTACTCTCCCCCCTACCCCCCCAGCCCCCTCCAAATTGTTTTTCTTGGCTGGCTTTGTCAACCACTCGAAACACAAATTACAAGAGGCACTGCGAGCGTCTTCCCACACACTTGCTGTATAATATTACTAAGTATACCCATTGGTTGTACACATGAAAATAACGCAACGTCCCGAAGTATATTTGTTGGGGGAAACTTGATTGCAGTGGGGACTTTATCCTCTCCCTTCTCTCCTCCTCCCCTCCCCTTCTCTGTTCGTTCCCTTTCCCTCCTTGTGATATGTGCTATATGAGATCCTGACCAGTGCGGCTTTGCGAAGGCACGAACGTGTGGCGGTGTCGTGGGATTCTCACCATTGCAGCTCTCCGAAGTCACGAACGTGTGGCAGGGCGAGGTCGTCGTCGTCATCTGCGTGCGGCGACGACGACGACGACGACCAATTCCTTCCTCATCATACATTCTGCGTGCGACTTGCAAGGGTATATCGTTTATTTCACCCTGGGACCCCGAATTCTCAGGGGCGCAGGTAATATCCATATCGACCGCCTCCCGAGGTCCATTCAGGATCAGAACATCGGCGCCAATCGAGGGCCGAGGCTTCCAGGAGGAGTGTTTCTTGGCTTCTTCAGGCCTGCAGAGACCGGGAAGGCCTCCAAAGAATAGCAAAGATCTTGGCCTCTGGAGACTTCCGGACTGCCTCCAGGGAGAGATCACTTTGGGCAGCAGACGACGTGAACAACGGCGTCTCTCAGTGCTGCGCAAGGGCGCACGACACATCGCAGCTAATTGCGTCGATCTCCACTTTGCAAGCAGGTTTCTTTACGAGCCAGAGGGCGCACGGCAGAGAGCCCAGCCAGAGGCTAGTGGCCAAAGGCCGCGGTCAAAGACCACGGGCCACGCTCTGGGGCCACGGGGCACGAGATTCGGGACCCGGCGGAGCACCCACCAGCCGCAGCATACAGTGGGGGCCCATGCCAAGAGACACCCTGCCTGCCTCCAGGGTGCCCTGGGGTTTCTGGGGTTCGATGATTTTGCTATGGGAGGCGTGGCGTTCCCACATCTGAAATCAGTGGGCGCCCTGGGGTCCCAGGGTTGGGTATGAGGGGGTCGCGAGCGAGGCGCGACCGGAGTCGGCCTGCGCGCTTTCAGCCGGCGGCCACGTGCGAACCCCACCCCACCAGCCTGCGGCTTCTAAAGCGGGGAGGTGGGGTTCACTTCGCTCGAGAGGTCCCGAGCGAAGTGTGAACCCCACATCCCCCCTCAGACATCGCGGGCTGGTGGGGTAGGGCTCGCACGTGGCTTCCTGTCCAGGCCCCCGCGCAGCCAATCGACAGAAGGCGGAGGTGCGCAGGGCGGAGTGCGGGGGGCGGAGGCGTAGGCGGCTGCACGCGCCGCGCACCCACCGCCCGCGCGGGGGCTCTGAGGATGGGGGGAGGGCCGGTGGCCACGGAGCGGGGACGAATTTCAGTGTGTATGCCAGGTGTCCTTGACCCAATCCAGCCATGCTCGCGTCGTGGGGAGAACGGGACGGGAAGCTCTTCGTAGTGTTCGGCCTCTGGGGGCCCCTGTCGGGCCCCGCGACGGTGAACAAAACGATTCAGAATGAGATTTAAGTCCTGGGGAGAGGGTCGGGACTTCGGGGGCCTGGGTATTGAGACAATCGAGACATCACATGTCTGGGAAGGAGCCTTCATGATTCGTCTAGAGGGCTCCGCAAGGCCCGAAGGGTCCAGGGGCTCCAAGGCCGAGCGGGGAGCTGGAGACACCGCCGGCCTGGGGTACCCTCACCACCCGAAAGTCGCGAGGCCCAGGCCACGCGGGCCAGCCGTGTGACGGGGGGTCAGCCGATCACCACTGGTCTCCTCTGGATGGACCGGGCTTGGAAGCCACACGGAGCCGACCCCCCTTCGCTCCAACGAGCCAGATTTGGGAGCGACAGTGGGGGCCCATGCCCCATGCCAAGAAACACCCTGCTTGCCTCCAGGGTGCGCTGGGGTTCTTGGGTTTCGATGATTTTGCGATGGAAAGCGTGACGCTCCCACACTGAACATCAGTGGACACCCGGAGGACTCAGGGTTGGTTTTCTTATGGAAGGTCTCTTGTGGTCGGGCTCCGACTGTACTTCGTGGCAGAGCAGGGTTGGCGACATGGCCTTCTGGCTGTTCGGGGTCGGCGCCGACGCGGGTCGGCCCGTCTTCGAGCGACGCGTTCCCTGTGACTTCCGCCGCAGAGGCCCCAGGCCCGCGCAGATATGCTCGGCGTCTCGCTGGCGCCCTCCTCCTCCTCCTCCTCCTCATCCTCCTCATCCTTGTGCTCTTCCTCCTCCTCCTCCTCGTCCTCCTCCTGTTCCTCCTCCTTTTCCTCCTCCTCCTCCTCATCCTCCTCGTCCTCTTCCTCCTTCTCCTCCTCCTCCTCCTCCTTCTCCTCGTCCTCCTCCTGTTCCCTCCTCCCCCTCCTCCTCCTCTTCCTCCTCCTCCGCCTCCCGAGGGAGGAGGAGACCGCGCTCAAAGCGTTGCGCTCCACAGCCCAGTCCAGGGGCTGCTGGCCCCTCGGCGGCCTCGCCAGCGCGCGGTCTGCCTGCGGCCGCCTGGGCCTGAGGACCCGAGGAGCGCCCTGCTCCCCTGGGGCTCGAGGCCATCCGCCGTCGGGTGGCCGCGTGCGAGGAGGAGGCCAACTTCCCCAAGTATGAAACGTACTATCGAGGCTTATCCTCTGGGGAAAAGCAGGAGTGGAGTGGAGTGGAGTGGACGCCATCACGATGTGATATTCTGAAACCGACTGAAACCGAAACTGCCGCCACTCAGAGGACGAAGAACAGGTGGAAGATGTAGAGGAGGACATAATTCCCCATCACCAGAGCTTTCACACAGGCGCACGACTGGCAGCAGAAGCATAAAGTTACCGTGGTTGGAAACAACACGGCCCATTCGGAGAGCAACGGGTTAAGCTGGTATGAATTCAATCCAATAAGGCCCTGCCCGAACGTGAAAGCGCGGAGCAAAATTCCAAGCGGCCACCACCTCGAGCATTGTCAGGCAACCCCACCCATCTCGAAAGAATAGGGATTATCTCCTCCACAGCCAGCCTCGCCCCTGCGAACAGAAACGCGCCTCACAGTACAACAAAATAATCACCGAATGTGCGAAATTCCACAGCTGCGATGGGGATTTTAAGTGAGCTCGAAGCCCGCGGCACCCCAAATATTGTAAAAGAGGAATTTAAGTGGGCTCGCAGCCCGCGGCACCCCATGCACCATAGAACACACTTGATGAACGAATTCAAAACAAGGTGCAGCAGCCCGAGGAACCAGTCGAAAACCGATTGGACCCGAGGAGGAGGGGAAGAGGAGGAGGAGGAGGAGGAGGCGGAGCAGCAGGAGAAGGAGGAGGAGGACCTCCGTCTCATCCTCCTCCTTCTCCTCCTCCTACTCCTCCTCGTCTTCCTTCTCCTCCTTTTCCCCCCTCGCGCGTCCTCTCTCGAGCAGCAGGGTACCCCAGGGTTTGCGGGCCGCGCGGGGGCGCCCGTGCGCCATGGTGGACGTGGGCGATGAGCTCGAGGCCGACCGCCACGTGTCCGGGCAGGCCCCGCTGCCGCGGACATGCGTGATGGAGGAGGGTGACAGCAGGGAGCAACACGGAGGAGGAGGAGGAGTTGGAGGAGGAGGAGGTTCCATTTCGGAGGCTCAGGTCCTCCTGCCCACAGTCTGCCACCAGCTGCGACGGTAGCGACATCCAGTTGCTGACGAACCCGTGGCGCCCACCCACGCGGAAGGAGGAGGAGGAGGAGGAGGAGGAGGGGGGTGAAGAAACATGGGAGAAAGAAGAAGCGGAGAAGGAGAAGGAGGAGGAGGAGGAGGAACAGCAAGAGGAGGAGCAGGTTCCGAAATCACACAATGGTTGCGGCGAGATGGGTGCCCGTTGCGATCGAGCTGCATGCTCCTTCTCATCGCGCGCACAATTTGAAACGGCGTGCCCCTTTGTTTGGGGGGGGATGGTCTTCCACTTCGCCAAGAGGGGCCCTTCCATGCCAACGTAAGGTTGCGAGGTTGCGAGGCTCACGCTTGTGCGTCTTATGTATAGCATGGCTTGTTCATATGATCTGACGCGTCTTGCGTGCGTGAGCCGCATAGTATGCGTTGCGCACGCGGAGTGGACGGAGTAGGTCGGCATCGGGCTGCGTTGAGCAGTCATAAATCAACGCAAATGGGGTCGCACACGCACGCGCAATCGCGCGCGCGTGCGAACCTATAATCGCCTGCCCCGGATAATAAAGCACTCGCCTTCAAACCAGAGTGCTTTTAGCTCCGTGCACTACAGCTTTGGTTTGTGGTGGGGAGCGGGGGGGCCGAACTTCATTCGAGCCGTGGAGGGTATGAATCGTAGATTGAATCCTCCTACCGCACCATCATCCTCATCACCGCCATCATCATCATCATCATCATCATCATCATCAACGTTTCCATCGTCATCATCATCACGATCATCAAATACGACCATGAGTACGACTAGTACTACTACTGCTACTACTACTACTACTACTACTACTACCACTACTACTGCTGCTGCTATTACTACTACTACTACGACTACTACTACAACGACTACGACTACTACTACTACTCCTTTACTCCTACTCCTACTACTACTACTAGTACTACTGCGACTGCCAGTGCTACTACTACTACTACTACTACTACTACTACTACTACTACTACTACTACTACTTCTACTACGATGACTACGATGACTACGACTACTACGGCGACAACTACTACTACTATTACTACTACTGCTACTACTACTACTACTACTACTACTACTGCTTCTTCTTCTACTACGATGGTTACCACGACTACGACTACTGCGACGACTACTAGTACTGGCACCAGTACTAGTACTAGTACTAGTACCAGTACTAGTACTAGTACTAGTACTAGTACTAATACTAGGGTTACTACTACTACTACTACTACGATTACGACTACTACTACTACTACTACTACTACTACTACTACTACCACTACTACTACTACTACTACTACTACTACCACTACTACTACTACTACTACTACTACTACTACTTTTACTACTACTCCTACTACTACGACGACGACTACTATTACTACTTCTACTACTACTACTACTACTACTACTACTACTACTACTACTACTACTACGGCTACGACTTCCACTACCATCATTCTGGCTACTACTACGGCGACCCCCACTACGACTACGATAACAATTGCGGCGGGAACTACTAGATCGTCATTCTTTTCATGATCGCCAACCACTACGACTACGACTACCACCTCCCCCCCCCTCACGGGCGTATGTCAGTGTACATCCAGGGTTTTTTTACAGCCGGAAAATGCCCGAGGCGCCCCCTTTTTTCCACAGAAGAACGTGAACACTTTGTGCTTTCCAAAGCGGATCTGATAGGTTTGAAATATTTGTTATCGAATTTCTTCCCCATTTCTTTCCTCCCTCCTCACTCCTTCTTCCCCCCCCCTCAACAACGACTACGGCGACGACTACTACTATTACTACTATCACGATTCCTACACCTGCGACTACTACTACAGTCACCAGCACCACCACTATTACTACTACTACTACTGCTACTACCACTACTACTACTACTACTACTACTACTACTACTACTACTGCTACTACTACTACGACTACTGCTGCTAATAACACTACCGCTACTACTACTACTACTACTACTACGACTACTACTACTACTACTACTACTACTACTACTACTACTACTGCTACTGCTACTACTACTACTACTACTACTACTACTACTACTATTACTATTACCACTACCACTACTACCACTACTACTACCACTACCTTCACTATTTCTGCTACTACTACTGCTACTACTACTACTACTACTAATACTACTACTACGACTACTACTACTACTACTACTACTACTACTACTTTTACTACAACTACTACTACTACTACTACTACTACTACTACGACAACTACCACTACTCTTACGACGACTACTACTACTACTACTACTGCTAGTATTACTGCTGCTATTACTACTACTACAACTACCTCTTTGACTACCATTACCCATTATCTTTTTTATTACCACCAGTACTACTGCGACTACTGCCGCTCACATTTCTACTACTACTACTCCGACTACTACTACTATTACTACAACTACTACTACTACTAATATTAATATTGTTACAATAGTACTACTACCACGTTTTCGATAGTATTTTTTTATCTACTATGGGCTACTTACTGCTTGCCACTATTACGATTTCGGTTACCACCTTGACTACTGTTACTACTACTATTACTACTACCGCCTACTACTACTACTACTACTACTACTACTACCACTACCACTGCTACTACTACTGCTACTACTACTACTACTACTACTACTACTACTATGACTACTACTACGACTACTACTGCCACCATTACTTCCATTCTACTACCACTACTGCTACTACTAATGGTAGAAGGACTCCCACCACTACTTCTACAGCTGCTACGACTGCAACTACTATTTCTATTCGTAGTACTTTTCGTACGACTACTACTATTATTATTATTTCTAGTACGACTACTAGCACCAGTGCTACTATTACTGCTCCTACCTCTACTACTTCTACTGCGACTACTACTACTACTACTACTACTACTACTACTACTACTACTACTACTACTACTGCTACTACTACTACTACTACTACTACTACTACGTCCAAGTTTGCGACTACTAGTACCACTAGCAGTACTACTACTACTACTACGACTACGACTACGACTACCACTATTTCCACTACGACTAATTATGTTACTACAACTACGACTTCCATTTTACGGCGTCTGCCTCTACTACTACGAGCAGACCCTTCCGTTTGCCCAGTCTGAGGGGGCATCGTCATTGTCTTCTCCCCCTCTTCTTTTTGTCATTTTCTCCCTGGTCCTCCTCATCATCCCTCTTCTTTTTTTGATTATCCCCCTCTCGTCCGCCCTGTTCTCCTCCTCTCAACCCCTAGACGCGCGGCGTGCGCGACGCCGTCATATCACACGATTCATAAAGATAATACACGCGCACAACGACAATAAAGATGGGGTGGGTATGTGAAAGGAGGGCGCAGCGTTTTTCTGTCGCACGCGCCCCACTCGCGCGCGATCTGATGCCGAGGCGGCAACTGCATCTACTGCAGAATGCCAATGCAGCTAGCTGGCAGACGAGAGCTTTCTCGAGGCCTGGGCCCATTTGCTCAATCCCGCGCGGAAGCAATCCTTCGGCGCCATTTGCATTGCGCCGCTACTGCACGCATCCCTGCACCGACTCAGCGCGTCAAGCACGCTCGCTAGACCCGCCCGCCTCAGCAAGGCAGCGCCAGACAATGAGCGCACGGCCTTCTTGAGCTCGGTGGTGTTCTGGCGGCCCACATTGCCGACTCGGCGCAATGTGTTCTTGATGTGCCCTTGTAACGATTCGGCGATGCTGTCCCCCGCTACGGGTTTGACGTTCAGCTTCGTCTCCTGGACAGCTGGGGTTTTGCCGCGGCAGTGGCGGCGCAACGTGGCAGCCGTATTCCGCGCCAGCATGCTCTTCAGCAGCCTCGTGACGGGCGTGAACACCTTGTTCTGGTGGTTCACCTCAGACAGGGAAGCCGCGCGGATCTCCTCGGCCGCGGAGTGGAAGGCGCGCGCGCGCCATCTGGGGCCAGCACGGTGCTGGAGCCCACGGCGCCAACCAGATGGCCGCGAACTTCCTCGAGGGACCCAGGGCCGCCAGAGCCCCGCTTCGCCGAGGAGTGCCTCGCTTTCAGAGCCTTAGCCGTCCACTTCTGGGAGAACCTGCTTTTGCGCACCAGCACGCGCCCCTCGTGGCTTTTCAGCACCGCCGCACAAACTCTTGGAAGCCACGCGGGGGCTGTCTTGCTCGACCACGCCGTCCCTGAAGATTGTCTCGAGGGCGTTCTCCACCTCCGTGTACGCCAGGGCAACCTTGCGGGCGTTATAGAAGTTTCGCATTTTGTGCACAGTGGCGCGGGTGGTTTCGCCGCTCTTGCGCGCGAGCTGAGTTGCTGCGTCGCCGGGCGCCTTGCATTCCCAGGCATGGGCGGGTCGCAGGCACATGCTGTAGTCGCGGTCTTTGCTACTGGAGTCGCACCGATGGAACGGCGCGAAGGCCGCGCCAGTTTTGGCCAAGCGCGGGCGACCGCACTTCGCCCCCATGCACCTGAAGCCCTCTCCCTGCTTGACCATCTGCTCGCAGACGGCCAGCAAGCGAACGGCTTCGGCTCGCACCTGCGCGGGTTAACGCCCGCCTCCACCAGCATTTTCTTCGCTGCGTTCTGGTTCAAACCGACGATATTCTCGAACGAAGGCTGCTCCAAACCACGCAGTGTGATCGTGTCGGGAGCGGCGGATGTGGCTTTTTCCGCCGCAAGTCAGGCCGCCTAGGTGGAACTTCGATTGCACGTGGCGGGTCTTCTCGCTGCAGCTGGCGGCATGTTTGCCGATGGTCTTCATCGCATTCGTCGGCTTCGCTTTGACGGTGCCGATGGTCTTCA